TATGTAAAAAATGCAGTTTTATTACATGTTTAGTAACACAAGAAGTTACCTTATGCGGAATTAATTTTGAAAAACAAAAATATGAAAGCTCATTTTTAAAGTGGGAAATTCCTTTAGCTATATAGAGAAATGTATATAAATGAACATATAAATAAATAATAATCATAAATTCCTTTTGCTATATAGAGAAAGTACTGAAAGATTTCAAAATGAGATTGGAATGGGTTCCCCTCGTTAGTTTTGGAATTGATGCTTCTTCAAGAATCTCTATACTACTGCCTTCTTCATGCTCTCTTAATAGTCAATACATAAATTTTATCTTCAAACTTCACGTGCAATTTAATTTGTGATTTAACGAGTACATAATTTTCATTAACAACGATAGTTATTTTAAGATTTTAGGATAATTGCAGCAAAAGTCCCAAACTTTTAAAACATTAGCCGATTTTTCCCAAATCTTTGATTTGTTGCAGCCGTCACCCCTAACATTTCCAAACGCTGCACATGAGGCCCTTTTGGACAGTTTCCATCTATTTATCCATCATTTGACCACTAAAATTTAAAAAAAAAATTGATCACTTTCTAGCAAAATAGGGGATGACAAAATGGTAACTTACTATTTTCCCATAAAATAATTAAAAAGTGAGGCCCAAAACAAAGAAAAAAAATGTATCTTCTTCTCCCTCACCCCCACGCTTAAGCCCAACCCCTCAACCCAAAACTAGAAATCTGCCACCGCCAACGACCACCACCACCACCACCACCGTGAACACCAATTCCTTGTTGATTATATACACGTTATTTTCAACAAAATGTAAACACAATTAAATTTATTCCAAGCGCCTAAATAGTAGAAAGGACATGAAATATCAGCCAATGATCATTTTGTTCAGGAATTTAGCTTGCTCGAGGAAACGCTCCAACAGCTCATCTTTTGTGATCCAGACAAAATTTTCACACTTTTTAACATTAAACTTGTTGGTAGTGATCACTTGAGGGGTTGGGCTCATGATGGTGGTGGTGGTGGTCGTCGTTGTCAATAGGCGTAATGGTAGCACATTTCTGGTTTTGGATTGAGGGGTTGGGCTTGTGTGGGGGTGGGGGGGGTGGGGGTAAGGGAGAAGAAGATACATTTTCATTTCCCTTTTTTTTTCCTTTTTTTTTT